TATGTATATGAATCAACCTATAGGAAATAGACCTTATGAGCTTGACAGGAACTTCTATTATGCATTCAAGATGAGTAATATCCAAAATGCTTACTTGACCAGCTCGTCAAATCTTGGTGCTTTTATTCCCCCACCCATTCCTCAACACCTCAAAATAAGTAAAATGATTTTTAAGCATCCAGTCTCATGGGAAACTAGTATATTCTCTTTTTCTTGGGAGCATTTTACAGAGATTGGTTTTGGTTTGGAGTTACTCAGGAAAAATAATGTAGTACAAAAGATTACTCTACAAGAGATCCAAATCTGCTGCTGAAAATCCAAAGTAATTAAGTTTATCCTGCACTTCAAAATACAACAGAAAGGAGCTCAAGCAATGATTTTTTGTTTTCAAACTTGGAACTCTGTCCCTTTTCCTTTCTTTTCTACTGGGAGGTTCAAGGCCAAGTGGTGAGGTAGTCAGAAAGGCTAAGGGGCAACCTTTACTCCTCTTTCACAAGGCTAGGTCAGGCATCATTATTCCTGACCAAAATAATGGCTAATAGGCCTTAGCAGACTTGGGTGCAAATTGCTATTGGATTCTTGTAGGTGTGGCTGCTTCTCCTATTGGAACATCAAGTCCAAATTCTTCCCTAGAGGCTAACTAAAATAGAAATAAATAGAGCGGACATTGGATGACCTGGTTCCAAGCTACATGAACCCATCTGGTTACAAGGAAAGAATTCCAGCTTATGTTAGGCCGAACTCATCACAGTATATAACATTGAGAATGGGGCCCAAGCCCCAGCTGGTGGCATGGATTACCTGACCTTGTCCTCTTCTTATATACAGTGGAGGGCTGACCCATTATGAACAGAATTTGTGTTATCTTAGTTCCATAGTCAAATATCTCAATTTATTTCCTGAATTTTAATGTTTATGCTAACTTCCAAAGCACATCACTAAAGTTTCAAAAGAAACTTCTAAGTCCAAAGACAGCCTCTCTCATCTTGTAAAATCTTTAATATTGCAAGGAAAATTAAAATATTCTGAGACAATATTTGCTTTTTAAATATCAGTGGTAAAAAAAAGATCTGTTTGTGCTCTAATCATAATTTCTGAAAAAGTCTAAAAGGAAATATACAAACATATTAATAACTTTGCTAAAGAGTGAGATAACAATCATTTTTCCTATTTTTCCAAATTTTTCATAATATTTGTTTTGCTGCTTTTAATCCTAATAATATTAATAGCAATAATAATAATATCAGTAATAGTAACTACCACTTATACCACTTATATGCTCATTTAAAAGTGTATAGAAAATAAA